GGCTCTTGGGGTGGTTGCTCCCCCTCAATCTCTGGCTCAACATCATCTTCTGCTGCATCATCATGAGGTGTTTGCACTTCCTCATCAATATCATGAACAGCAGAGGGATTGAGAGGATCTAAATCAACAAGATCATCAGTACTAGACTCAGCTGACTCAAGCTTGTCGATGTCTTCAATAGTCTGATCTTCCAAGAAAACAACATCTCGGCTTCTGACAACTTTCTTGTCAACTGTATCATACAACCTGTATCCAAATTCTTCATGCCCATAGCCAAGAAATATGCATTGCTTTGCTTTTGGATCAAGCTTGGACCTTTCATCTTTTGGAATATGAACAAAAGCTCTGCAGCCGAATACCCTCAAGTGATCATAGGAGACTTCCTTCCCTGTCCAAACTTTCTCTGGCACATCACCATTCAACGGAACTGAAGGAGACAAATTGATAAGATCAACTGCGGTCCTCATTGCCTCACCCCAAAAGGATCTTGGCAATTTAGAATGTGAGAGCAAACATCTGACTCTCTCAAGAATGGTGCGATTCATTCTCTCTGCAACCCCGTTCTGTTGAGGTGTCTTTTTAACTGTCTTTTCATGCCTGATACCATGATTTGTGCAATACTGATCAAATGGTCCAATATATTCACCACCATTATCCGAGCGAACACATTTCAACTGTCTACCTGTTTCTCTTTCAACCTTGGCCTGAAAAATCTTAAACACATCTAGAACTTGATCTTTAGTTTTCAGTGTATAAGCCCAAACTTTTCTAGAGTGATCATCAATAAAAGTGACAAAGTATAGAGCACCACCAAGTGTCCTAACTTTCAAAGGACCACATACATCAGAATGTACCAAATCTAAAACATGAGATTTTCTAGATGCAATGTTTCTACGGAATGATATTCTGTTTTGTTTACCATGGAAACAATGAACACAAGTTTTCAAAGGCGTACCTTTTATCCCCACTAGAAGCTCTTTCTTGGACAAAACTTGCAATCCTTTTTCACTCATATGTCCAAGCCTTCTATGCCATAAATCAGTGGATGAGTCATTCTCTAAGGTATTCACAACACCCTTGCAGATTTTTGCTTGCATAGTGTAAAGAGAACAAGTCTTCTTTCCTTTTGCTACCACTAGAGAACCTTTGGAGAGCTTCCATTTTCCATTACTGAAATTGTTGATGTAGCCTTCATCATCTAACTTTCCAGCAGAGATTAAATTGAGTCGAATATCTGGTACATGCCTCACATCTCTAAGCAGCAATTTGCATCCAATATTTGTTTTCAAGCAAATGTCACCCATGCCGACAATTTTTGACACATCTTCATTTCCCATACGGACATTCCCAAAATCACCTTGTGAGTAAGAAGTAAAGAAATCAGCCCGCGAAGTAACATGAAATGAAGCTCCAGAATCAATTACCCAATCCGTCTCTTGGCCAATCAAATTAACGCTAGCATCATCACGGATAATCATGAGTTCATCATCGGTAACTACAGCTGTATCAATTTGCTTTTTCTCTGAATTTTTCTCTTTGTTCTGCTCCTTGAACTTGAGTTTTCTACATTCCCGCTTCATGTGCCCTTTCTTGTGACAATAATAGCATTCAACATCCTTTTTTGACATCGAGCTTGAACGACCTCTAGATTTATCACGGTTGTGCGGAACCCTACTCTTACTCCTGCCTCTCCCCCGGTTTTCCATTACAAGTGCCTCGGAGTAAGAAGAACCTGATGATTTTCTTCTTGTTTCTTCATTCAACAAACTGCTGGTAACTTGACTCATTGTTACCACTCCATCAGGTGCGGAGTTACTAACTGTGACCACCAAAGTTTCCCAGCTTTCGGGAAGTGAACTAAGAAGTAACAAAGCTTGCAACTCATCATCAAAAGTAATTTTCATGGCGGCCAACTGATTCACAATGCTCTTAATCTCATTCAAATGCTCTGCAATAGAAGTACCCTCCTTATATTTAGAGTTCACAAATTATATTTAGAGTTCACAAGCTTTCGAAATAAAAAGGCTTTATTCACTACCGTCTTTCTATCATACAAACTCTCCAATTTGGTCCAAAGACCATGTGCAGATTTTTCTGTAGAGACATGATGAAAGACACTATCATCAATCCATTGCCGAATAAAACCGACAGCTTTCCGGTCTAGCTTTTTTCACTCGTCATCTTTCATCCCTTCCGGTTTGCCACTATCACCCTCTATGGGTCCATTCAAATCTTTACAAAATAAAAGATCTTTCATTTTAGTTTTTCAAGTCACCCAATTTGTGCCATTGAAACTAACCATACGTCCAACGTTGCCGTCCATAATTCACACACAGAAATATAACGAATCGGAACCGAATTAACCAATTGCTCTGATACCAGATGTTGGGAAAATAGGCTTTTCCACAAGTGTAAATCAATGGAAGCAATATAAATAAAATAACAGAAAATAAATAAGCACACAAGATTTACGTGATTCCCTCAAATAACTTGAGGTACATCCACGACGACCGGTAGGTTAGTTTCTTCCACTATCACCAAATCAGATTACAAAGTGGCCAAAAGGCATAAGCCTTACAAACACACCAAGGTGTAAATCACAAGAGGAAAATACCTCACAAAATAAGTGAACCAAATCTCTAAGAACAAACCGCAAGAAACCCAAATATCAAGTGAAGAATTGTTACCCACTTGAAGAACAAATTTGCAGATTTTTCTGGCACCAAAAAGGAGAAGAAGAAGGCTGAATTTTTTTTTGAACCAAAGACTGCCGAAAATATGTCTTCTTGCCAAACCAACAGAGAAAAAAATGAACCAAAGAAAAGGACAAAACTTATAGTCTTTGGTGGCTGCCAAATTCCTTTTTAACTTGAAGACTCTAAACCAAGTCTTGGATAAGAGTCATACACGGGTAAGCCACCAAAAAATTAGCAAATTGATGAGTCCCACAAAGGAGGGAAACCCAACAATAAAAAAGGGATCGATTCACGGGAATAACATGATTCGCTGCTTAATTTTAATGGTATTATAGTGACGGATTATCCTTTTAAGTTAATAATTATCATTCAAACCAAATATTTCATAGTACAAAAACTCTCGTAGTCATGCTCAAAAAATTATTAATTACTGATTAGCCCTCCCCTTTTCATGATAAAACCAAAAAAACATAAAAAAAAAATAGATAATCTGTCAAAAAAAAAATAAAAATATTATAGGGCATCCGGATACCACATTATTTATTATTCACAGTTTAAAAAAAAGAAATGCACAGTTTTTAGTGTTGGGCGGCCTCACTTCTTTGGACTTTCAGGTGTTATTTCGATTCTTTAAAGAAGACTTTGGCTTATTCAATGTTGGAGTTTTCCATTGATTTTGTGTTTTCTGAATTTACGTTGTAGTAACAAGTTTAAAAGAATCCATTATGAAAACAAATTGACAAAAAAAAAGAAGAGTGGACTCAATTTTCTTTTTGTCTTAAACTACTAAAAGAATGTTTGTAATCAGACTTTACGTAAACTAGTTCGGAAATTCCGACTATTAAAACAATAAAAAAAATTACATAAAGGTACCATTTGAAGCAATGAAGTTGTGTAGTGCATTAGGCAAGTCTCTCTCTCTCCAACACATACTCCCCAACCAAAACTGTCATGGCTCCCTCCAATTGTGCATTAACTCCAAAAAGAATGGAACATTGTAACAAAGTTCAACCTAGACAAGTAGGGAAAGTACTCTATTTTTGTCTAAGCCCCCATTTCTTCTCTGTTGTGCTGCATTTTCTCATGATGAACATGATGCATTTTTCTTTATCGACTTAGACAACCAAACACACACTTGAACAATTTCAAGAGCTTCAATGACACAATTTTTAGACAACAGCCATCCCTAATTTAATCTCGCTGTTTTATTTTAAGGTGGAAAGTACTTTTAATCCTTAAAATTTATATATTTTTTCAGGGTAGTTTTTAAAGTATCAATTTAGTTTCTAAAGTATTCAATTCATGTTTAAATAATCTTTATATAAACGGACCGTTATATGTGTTGGGCATATGATACCAAATGACACGTGATCACTTTTGTCAAAAAAATTGAACAAATTATCTGATTAGGGACCAAAGTGACATGAATTAAAATTTTATAGACTAAATTGATAAAATTAATACAGTGAGCGCTATTAACCGTTTATTTTAAAATTACAATCTTCTCATGATAATAGTCAAAACATATATTTACCAGTTTATAAATCATATAGATTCACATGTGTATATCTATATAATAAAATAGCTTACAATTAAAATTTCAAAAGATAAACAAAATAACTCTTGTTATTCACGGTTGAAATTACGTTAAATTTTACTTTAAAGTTAATCTAATAGCTAATATTAACACCCTAAATTTAATAGAAAAAATAGGCCTATAAGGGTGTGTTTGAAGTGACTTTTTAAATACTTTTAGAAATTATTTTTCATAAATACTTAAAAAAAAAATAGTATTTAAAACCGTCTAACCACTACCTCTACTACCACCACCGTCACCGCCACCGCCGCCACTTCCCCCACCGTTGCCACCCCCACCACCGCCATCGTCGCCGCCACCACCACCACCATCACCGTCACCATCACCACCACCGCCCCCATCACCACCATCGCCACTACCACCGCCACCACTGTCGTCGCCAACACCCCTACCGCCACCACGGTCATTGCCACCCACCATAACCATCACTGCTGCCGCCCACCACCTCTCACCCCCACTACAAAATCGATGCTTAAATTTTTTTATCTCTTTCCTATGCTTGCGATTTAATTTTGGATATAAATACAAATATATTTATTATTTACTTTTTTTATTACTTTATGCCTTCAGGCACATGCTATAACTAGTGTATATATATATATAGACATACATGAGAAATCGAACTCCAGAAAAATTCTCCAAGATTCATTCTCTACATGACTACTATTATGGATTGCACTGTTGTTATACAAAGTTGTAGAAGCCTTTTATATGGCCAAAAGATATTGGAAATCAAAGTCATATGGTACCTTGTCAACAATGGTGGACACCTTGCCACCATGAAGACCCCTGAAACAATCCACCATTGATTTCCTCAGTGATCCTGAGGTAGGTAACTGGTGACAAACCCATTCCACCAGTGAGCTCATGTCCGCGGCCTCGAAATCGTGCATGTTTCGGAGCAGTAGCTCCGGTAGTGCAATCCTCCTTGTGCTCATCACAACAATGGAAGCTTGCAGGTACTCTAGCTTTGATTTCTCCAGTTCAGATACAACACCATCAGCTGTATATATTCTCACCTACACACATAATATAATTCACTTGGGTGAACAATTAGTGGAGCATTTAAAGATCCAAATGAAAAAAAATAAAAAATGGGTCAAGAGTCAAATACACTTAGAACCCTTCAAGTATATCACTAGTTTTACATTGACCCCTATATTATTTATTTTCTCATATTACGCCTTAAACTACTGGCTTGAGTTTCATATTGCCTCAACTGTGGACTTATGTCCATTTTTTCAATTACAAATATGGGCAAAAATGGAATTCTGCTAAGCTGAGGAGGGAAAGTCCACATCTCCGAACATTGTGAAATTCAATTTTGTCTTTAATTATTTGCAGTGAAAAATTGGACTAAAATCAACTATTGAGGCCATATGAAACTCAAAACCAATTTTTTTAATGTACAATGTGAGAAAGCTGATATTTTCCCCTAAACTATTGACTTTTTCAAGTTACACCTTAAACTATTGTCTGAGTTTCATATTTTCCTAATCGCTGGCTTTTGTTCAATTTTTTTATGGAAAATCAGGACAAAAATACCACATTTGTTAGCATTGTGGGATCCAAGGTTTCACCGTATTTGGTATGATTAATTGGACTAAAACCAACGATTAAGACCACACGAAACTCAAACCAAGAGTTTATGAACGATGTGCTCAAAGGTTCAAGTCCCCTTCCCCCTTCCCCCTTCCCCCTCCCCCTCTCCCTCCCCCTCCCCCAAAAAAAAGAAAAGAAAAAAAAATTGAAGCGATGTGGGAAAACTGATAGTTGAGAGGGCAATGTAAAATGAGGGGCATAGTTTAAGGGTGTAAGTGTAATTCACACAAAGTTCAAATAAATTACTGCTGGAGAAGACCGTGTTCCGCAGCATAAGGCAAATGTGACATTGGGGTCCGATGACTCGAGTCCATAAAGTTCACGAACAATGGCTTCTTTGTCGTCCTTCTCTCTCTTCGGATAAACCTATATATGAAAGGTGGTACATAGACTTATACAAATCCATATTGGGTGATTATACAAATAACAGAAAAGAGGGGGGGGGTGTTGTTGTTTAAATAGGACATGATTCGATCATATTTACCTCTTTTGTGATTGAAGATGCTGGTTTTCTAAGAATAAAATGCTCAATAGCTTGAGCATTTATTATGTTGCCTCCAATATTCAGGGTTGCCTGATTCAACCACGTTGCAAATGTAAAGTGATGATCGAGAGTTCGGATTATAAAAACAGTCTATTTATGTGATGTAAGACTATCTAGTTGACTATCTTCAAACTCTGCGGCGACAGATTACCGACTTCACTCTTTTTAATCATGTTAGATGTAAATGATCGATTTTGTGATCAAGTAGTCTGAGAAAATAATGTACCTTGTTCATAAGAGTAAGCAGTTTTTCAGGGCTAGAAGGCACACCATATTGAAGAACCCCCTGAAATCAGAAGTTAGGATATATATAAATGAGGGTCTCAAAAAAGAGAGATCAATCAGATAAATAGAAGTAAGAACTGGTGTTGTCCAAAGTATACATGCATGATACAAGCATTGTACATGTTGATCCAAAATGCTAGCTTCTGTTGGTCAGTCAGAAATCTCAAGTCAACCTCCTGTAGGCTGTTCATCAAGACCCTGTAGTTAACAGCAAAATGAAATATAAAAATAAGTAATGGTTACTGACATAAACTCTACATAGGCTATGTCAATGCTAAAGGATGACTTTTTAGAAGTGTCCGTAGATAAAAAAAGCCAATCAATGCACGAGACTCTTGTCGCTATAGGAGTATAGAGAGAGAGTCATGCGTGCGTGAGCTTACTCTATATAAGGAAAGGCCGTTTCGTGAAATCGAAATCAAAACCGTGGCCTCGTCATCCTATAAATTATGCACGCCCAACCCCAAATACCTATGCTTGAGAATACCTAAGACATACCTTAGTTTCTGCAATAAAGGAACAGAACTTGAATTGGAGATGCATTTGGGGTCCATGGAGCTTGATGTGAACCTAACCAAGTTCTTGTAAGGGCCAACGTCCCTTGGAATAGATCCTTCCATATCAAAGATTCCATAAGGGTCTTGTTGCCTTAATTCTTTCTGTAACAAAAGGCTTGCCTTGGAGTTTAAGCTGGGCTCAGCCCTGAAGCTTGAAGAAAAGTTAGTAGACCTTGAAGTGGGGCCCAATTTCTCTAGCTCCATTTTTCTTGAAGTCCTAAGAAGTCTTACAAAAATGAAGAGCAAACATTTGATGATGCTCTCTGATAGCTTGTTGGGTGACCACTTCTGGGAGCTCTCTTCTTCTGGTTGAATTGGAGTTGGTTGAGCCTTTGGTGGGAGACGTAAAGGGACCTCTAGATTACGATCCCTCTGTAACAAAGTTGATAAGAACTTTATAAGCAACCATCAATATTGAAATGACTAATCCACAGGTAGAATATGAACTTTCTAAGTGATCATATGATTTGACAAGATGCAAAGCTATGCAAATACATAATCGGAGTTGTCACGCTAACCATATTTCGTTTTTTTTAATCTTTAGGTTATATGAACGAATGGTTAAAAGTCATGCTTTTCAAGTTAAACTTTTCGTTCTTGGAGCTGAAACAGCGTTTTTCAATCATGCATTTGTATTTCAACAACAGTGGATTAGGAAATAATGTAAAAAAAAAAGAATTCAACATAATCAAGGGGTGCAAAAATATTACTTAGGGCCTTCCTTACCCTGGGAGATGGTTGTCTTGGCTCTGGCTGCAAGGGTGAGGATGGTTTAAGCATCCCACTTTTTCTTGTAAGTAGTTTATCTTGCAATCCCATCTCCTCCCGGAAGTTATTCTCTTTCTGATCCAAAAATCCTCGCGAAATTCTCAGTTTATCATTCATGCTGAAGTCACTGAGATTATAATCACCCTTTATAGCTTTACTAATGAAATGCAATGCCTTTGTCTCGAATGCCATCTTCTCATTAAAACCTTTGCTTGGGGGGTTCGGATTTGGTGGAATTGATGACTGTCCAGGAGGGTTGTTTCGACTTTCTTGTTGCCATTGTTTGGACTGTACTTCTTTAGTGACTTCCTTTTCACGATCCAAATCTGTTTGTAGTTGGCTTATTTGGGTTTCCAATCGAGCTATCTCGTCCTCTACCATAGCCAACTCTGCTAGGAGTTCCTTCATCTATGCAAATTAATGAAATAGACAGGTAATGAGTTGAAGTAAAGGAAAGAGTCTTCCAGTGCGCATGGTAATATTACGTATATATGATTCTCCCTAGCTAGATCCCATACATAATAACGGGAGTTTAATTGCGTTGTTCAAGACATTCACCTTGCAGAAATATGTGCCATTATTGTCTGAATCTAGCCTATTTAAGTACATAGACAGCTCACAACTTGCTAGATTTCCTATGGAATTGCTTCCAGGAACAACTATATATACTTTATAAAGTATGACTTTATGGTAAAGGATTACCTTTGGAGGAAGGAAGTTTGGGAAACAAAGGGTGGAACCGTCCTGTCGATGATGCAGACACTCAAGAATTTTATGCACCTTCTGTTCATGATCCAGCATTTTGCGAAGCACAGAAACCTAAGACAAAGGTTGTTACTGTAATAATCACAATATAAGGGGGATTATGTAACGGGGGATTGTCTTAATAACATGTCCTTTAAACTCATGAATGCAACTAAAACATTTTTTCCTTAAAAGATATTGGTCTCAAAGGTAAAACTTTTGTATTGGCTGCAGGGAAAGAAAAAAGATGACAAAGTATGGTTCTCCCACACTGTTTTCTATTTTTATGCAGGAATTGAAAATGGTGAGCCCCAAATGCAATGCTATAAGAGGTAGACAATAGCTTGTTGTAGCTTTTTCCTTTTCTCTTTTGCAAAGAAGATTGATTTTTGAGCAACGTTAGTGGGACCTAATTTATTAATCTAATTTGTTGATCTAATTCACTATGACATTTGGATTGACTGTAGGCTCCAAGGACGTAGCCACTAGTGGGCTGAAGCCTAGAGGTAAAAAAAAAAAAAATTTATTCGTAGGGTATATGTATTATATATTCATATAATATATTATGTGTGTTCCTCTCATTTATATTAGATCCACATTATTTATCCACAAAAATTAAAAAATTTAACCCATTGAAAACAAAAAAATTTGAACCCAATATTATCTACCCAAACTTATTAAAATCTACCCAAACCTATTATAAAAATTTTTGACCCAACATTAAAAAAATAAAATTTTTGGCTCAATATTGAAAACAAAATTTTTGGGCCAACATTAAAAACAAAATTTTTGGGTCATTAGTTGACTATGTTTATGAGTTTACATTTATATTTTGTTAGTCGTATGAATACTTAGCGTAATCTGGGATAAACAAAAATCCTGATTACGACCCTAGTGGGCTCCATCAAATATTAGAACTTGGTGTTGTTCTAATAGTTTCCTTACAATCACATCATTATTTTAACAAATTAAGTCAGATTTTTAGGTCCAAAGAAGATTAGTCTTGATTATTTTACCTCTATTTACAATTAAAAGCTTAAATTTTGTATCGTGAAATATGTGTTTTGTGTCGATTTTATCCCTCAACTTTTAATTGTAATATTTCAAAATCTAAAGTTCAGAATTTTTTGTTAAATAACTAATTGCTATTTACACCTAAATATCCAGAGAGAAGTCGACTTATGAATCCATCATCAAAAGAAGTGAAATCCATTCATGTTATGTAGTTTTGTAAGCATTTGAACATAACTTAGAGAGACTGTAATATCTTAACCGAAAATTGATTACTAAAGTAAGACGACTACATGTTTCAAGACGACAGGCAATGGAATAGACATAGTCATTGATCGGGAGATCATGGAGTATCAAAATTAAAGGATCGATATCGAATAGAGGTGAATCTCTCCAAAAAGCAAAACTGCCCTTTATTGGTCGATTGGTCATTCAGATGCTCAATTTAACCTTCAGAATACTCATAATCTCCCTCAAAGGACATATCATAAAATGAATTAAGACAGGAAATAAGAATAATGCTATACATTTTGGCAGCAGTGGTTACTAATTAATTTACTGAGAACTATTTAAGACACATCCTCATGATAACAAAGTGAGAAAACATAGGCCATGTAGGGAACCCATCACCTATCTGTGTACTTTGTGTTCACAAGTCAAAGCAACCATGGAAAAGAAAGCAATTGAAATATGCATAAAAATCACACCCATACCTCTCTTTCTAGCTCCTCTCTCTTTTGCTGCCCACCAAGCTGCTTCTTTCTCTAAAAATGAAAAAAAAAAAAAAAAACCAAAATTTAATCAACAAGAGGGAAAATACAGAAGCAACTGTAAGAGAAAACAAAACCATGTTTGCTTTCACTCGGTAAATTTGAATGAATATATGGTAATTAAAAAAAACACCCATGTTACATTAGACCTCATGAAGACTACTACGTTACATACGTAAAAACTTTGTATATATAACGATAAATTTATTTGCGTTAATTCAGTGATCGATCAAGAAAGACGAGATGTAAAAACATATGCTTGAAGTTCAAATTTGTTGTAATAGTATAAAATCCGGGCAACCAAAGGACATGATAACCGTGTGTTTACGTGTTTTGAGATTTGCATTCAGCTATTAATTTTAAAAAGTCATGGTTGGATTAGAAGAAAAATATTGATAGAATCTTTTCATGCCACTGAACCACCTATGCCTGAACACCCACAAAAGAAAGCAACCCCAATATTAGTATAGAGTAATGCTAAGCCAAACTTACAATCAGCAAGGGTACGTGAACTGCCATATCCGCCTGAGTTGCCATAAACGATGATACCGATCTGCAGCTGCACCACACCTTCAACCTTCCCCAAGGCCTCCAAAGAGCAATAAAACAACACGGGCCGGGCCGGTTTCGATCATCAAAGAATTGGTCATGAGACTTTGATTTGAAGGGAGTGTGACTGGTTATGGTGGTTGTTGTTGTTGACGTTTGATTTGAATAGAAGAGGGTTTGGTCACTCTGTGAAGAAGATGAGAGGGAGCTTTCGAAACTTTTTTTGTTCTGTTTATTGGCAAACCGTCTCAGTTGTGGGTGGGACATCATGCAGAGAGAGAGAGAGAGAGAGAAGTGGGCTTGCTTGGCGTAGCTTGCACTTGCAGGTAGTTGAGGGTTAGACTTAGCGGTTATTCCTTCTCTGAGAAGCTTTACAGTGGGCTTAGATTACACATTTGGTAGCAGAAAGTAGCAAATGATGTCTCGAATCAACTTTATCTATACTTTGTTTTTTTTTGCTGATGGGTGTCCGTGTTTGTATCGAGCTTAAACTCAGATGTTAGTTATCGTACTTTGAATAAGGTTAAAACATTATTATATATACTTTTTTTATGTATACTTTTTTTTTTATTATACAGTGTTTAAGTTTGTGCCCACTATTTTTTTATTTTAGGGAATGACCTCTATAGTTTAAAGTGAATTAGAATATGCACTTAAAGGGACAAAGAAGGATGGCTAGTCCTCGGGAATGGTAAAGAATTGAATCTGAGAACTTTAAGTTATCAAAGACCAATTTTAACTACTCAACCACCCCTATTGTGTTTCTTATATTCTCTCTTATTAATTTTTGGGGAAAAGTAGAATACGAGAAACTCAATGGTCGGGACAAACACTTCCAGTTCCAACGTAATCTAGCACTGTTTTCTGGACAAAAAATGGTATTGAATAACAAAATACAGACTCCCAACGTAATTGGACATAATATGAAATCGATAAGGATTGTTGAGTATGCAATATGAATAACATAATAATTGAGGGGTAAAGTTAAACAAAAGCACATTTAAAGGTGTCAAGGTGTAATTGTCCTAATACTCGTCACTAAAAATTTGCATCTTTCTCTCTTTCGTCCCTTAAACTTTTTTTTTTTTCAATTTCATTCATCGACTTTCAACCTGGTCCAAATTAATAACGACAATTAAATTATGTATACAAAAAGGCATTCGCACATCACATGATACACATGTATAATTTTTGTTTTTAGTACAACAGTCAAGAGTATTTAGATCAGTTTATGTACATTTCAACTAATTCTTCCTAGGTTCAATCAAAAACATATCATCTACTTCGGAACTAGGATGTTCATGAGGGATAAATCTCTCAAAAAAATTATCAAGATTTGAATTTAAAAAATCTAATTTTTCAGCTCGTATTTGTTATCACTTAAACTACCTGAATGGAAAAAAAAAGTGAATTTAATGGGTAAACAAACAATATAATTAAGAGAAAGAAATGGTAAAATAAATACTCCTCTTGAATGCTAATTAATTATTGCACCCTAATGAATGTGATCTTCCTTACAAGTTACATCTGAGTAAAATAAGGAAATAAGAAATATGTAGGTAATCCTTAAGGAAACGGCTTGGATCGAGCCGTTGCCATGTCTTAATTAGGCCTAGTATGAACACAAAATGGGTGAACAAGTGACCTTTATTATTAAATAATTAATTAGATTTTCATAATAGTTTTTCTCTTAATGAAATTTAATTAAGAGTGGAGAATATCTGGGGCTGAGATTCCTTCAATAATAAACTATGGGCTCGTTTGGTTGCCATATTAGAAATTAATGGATTGGATAAAGTAATTCAATCTAAAATAATATAAATGAATAAAAGACAAGATTAAATAGGATATTATTCTTCGAGCAATACTGCATAGACTTAAAAAGTAGACTTATACATGAAAGTTATAGCCATTGATTTTACTGTGGCATTTCCAATGGTTGAAATTATCAAATCTAATTTTTAAGTCCATTTAGCATTACTCCTTTCTTAATACGTAATTTTATTTAGTACTAGTTGTTGCACGTGAACCATTTCACATTACTTTCAATTTTAGTTTTTTTTACTTAAAATTGTTTTTTCATTTGTTGAATATGTGATGATCATATTTGATTTGCATTTAAATTATTGACTAACCAATGAGCAGAGTTTTATAAAAACTTATTAACTACATTATGACATATAATTATCTCAACACCAATTTGTGTTTTGTGTCTACAGCGTATCAAATCATACATCAAGAGATTACCATATTCTGATTCAGCTGCTTTTATATTTACAAACCATACATTAAGAATAAAAGGCCAATTGAAATCCTAGATTACACAGGGATCCTGACCACTTTTATATCTATTGTGATGTTAAATATTGATGTTATAGGGAGCCATGAACATTTAA